CAGCGTATCTGCTTACGTGTACACTGAAATTTAACAAACTGTCCTGTTGTTGCTGCTAAGTATACTGTTTAATGAATATATAGCTTATTGTCGCCGCCATCGAAGTGGTGTACTTTTTGAATTAGTGGTTACTTATTGGTTTGCGATTATAGTGGATGCCACAGACCACAGACGTTTTACTGATGCAAATGTCTCTAATTGATTATGAGAATCAACAGGTTTTACGGTTCCACATTTTGCGTGTATAATAGCAATACTGTTTATATGTTTTAGTTTTTATATTGCGTTTATGGTCTAATCTAAATTCTTTGGAAGTTTTGATTTTTGCTTGTTGTCACTACACTTCGCTATGTCGAACAAGTTTGCATATCATCAGATATCATCAGCGATAGTTACGTGTTCTCGACATTTGCGCCGTTGCCAGCTATGTCTAAAAGAGAATTCCATAGATCTCAACCGTCATACTTCGTTGGATACCTCTACATAGACTTCATTAGAAAAGGATAAAATATCGTAGTTGAGAAAAACATATAAAACCGTTGGCTGAGCCCAGTTTCTTATACTTCTGCGACTGTTCGAGGACGCTTGTAGTCAGGCTGTGGTCAGTTTCGCGTCATGAAGATCGACCTCTGGCTAAAAACGTGTCGATGGTTTTTACCAGATCATTCGGCTGCTTCTTACAACAAGTTATAGTCTATTCACTGATCTTGGAGATAGAGAGGGGCAATAATCACTTTTAGTGCTTGTAATTCCTTTTCGCTCCGTCGATACTTATCAGTACGTATGAAATGATAAGGTGGATTTCGGCTGGACTTTGTGATATAGCTTGCATTGCTTATGGCATTTTACAGGATTTACCTCTGACCAGGTGATTTTGCGAGACCGTGATATATCGCTCCAGAGGTTGGCTTTTGAATCCAAGGAGCAGGTCTTGTAAAAACTAATTTTTCGTTCTGCTTTGTAACTCCCGTTGTATAATTTTTTGCTCCTCTTACTTTGAAGTCCATGTCCATTGCATATATGTTTTTTCTATAACTCATTGAAGCACATTTTAGTGAAAGAAGTGACCGCTGGTCAGTTGATTTGTTCTGGACTCGTTCATTCCGATCCGTTGGTTGTGTGGTACAGCAGTTGTACGTTGTTGCATTGCGTGCTGAACTCTCCGAAGGAATGCGAGCGCCTTTTGCGGGTACAATTGGCATCCGGCATCGGTAACGCTCCATTGACGCTAATGGAACAGACGACGTCGATCCTGACCCAGAGTCACGACTGTCAGACTCGCGCCGCGGTGCTGATGTTCCTGTCAGGTTGGCTGCTGCACTGCCGAACGGCAGTTATTGCTTTTCTGCAGAATTCTTACAACATACCATTTGTAAGTGTTGTGTTGTGATGATGATGAAGGCAATAGTAGTCCGTTGTCTCATTTCAGTTTGTTTTCAGCTGACCGCTGACGCCAGTTCTACCGAAGGCGACGAACTCGAGTCTATAGTACACGGTCTTAGCGCCTTCGTGTTCGGCAT